TCTAATGGTACTGGAAGTAATTGTGTCAAAAGTCATCATCTGCCAAACAGTGATTGTTGGCATTTGCCAAAAGAATTCATTTTTCCGTGTTTAAACTGTCTAAAAGGACTTATTATAAGTCATCTAGAAAGAACATGTCACAAATGTAAAGTCTGCAATCATTATGTTGGCTAAATAAATTTCATATATCATTTATTTTATTCAGAAAAAAAATTAAACATCTCTTTTTCAAGAGACGTGGCCAAAAGGGGAGTAGAAATTGGAACAAAGGGGCAAGATTCATTGTAATGTAGACCACAGAGGAGCTACAACAATGCAGAGTCATAAGGATGTAAAACAGGTCATTTTTTTTAAATATTTGGTATAACCCTTCATGTTGACTACAGCTTATCCCCCAAATATTAACAAGAATATTGCACATAAAAAACCCACAAACAGACATTAGCAATCACTTTTTGGCAGATGATCACCTTTTCTTCTGCCCTCTGAAGCATATTAGCACCCTTTAGCTTGTTGTTTTGATTCCCCTGTCTGTAGCTGTACTGTTTTGGTCTTATTTGCTAAAAGGAAAAAAACTAAAAAAAAACTATATATCCTACAAGCACAGCTAAAGCTAGGCCAAACAGGGCTAACAATACAGTATGTCGCTGATGAACACAGTGAAACATTTAGCAGAGAGAAAGGTTGAAATGAGAGTATTAAATTTTCCCTAAAACTCCAAGTACTGATGATGCCTAATTTATACCAGAAGTTACAAATGTGTAACTGCTGTAGCTGACACAACAACACATTAATTTATGATGGTAAACATGTGGGGCTTTAGGTGTGAGAACTTGCAGAATAAGATGTGACAATGTGTATGCGTGAGATTTTCAATCACATTACCTGTTTCCCTCTCAGCATGGACATCTTCTCATAGGCTATTATAAAACCTGAATTTCTTTTGCACCCAGAGGAGTCTCCTCCTCAGTATTATCAAAATATTATCAAAAATTCAAATGACACTCATTACTGGCTTCATTTTTCACAACTGCATGCAATGTCATTCATTTATAAAGTTGTTGCTTGAAATGGGATTTTTTTTTTTCCCCCGATTACAATCAAGCTGTTCAAGTTTGTTTTCAGAGCGGCCAAACATCCTGATAACAGCCTATGACAGAAAGTAAAGGACAAGAAAATAAGGGTAGTTGTTTTGCATCTAAATGAATACACCAAAGTGAATCTAATACATCCAACTGAATGATGTGATGACAACCTCAGGAAAACATACTCTGCTGCAGAATGACCAGCCTGTATCATCACAACCTCTGTCTCATAATACAGACATACAGATGTTCTCGCGATCTTCCCATGGATGAACAAGGACATATGCCATCTCTAGTGAAATACTGCCCTCCAGTGGAATCAAACTTTCAGATAAACATCAACCAGGACCTTTATATTACGCAACAAAAAAAATAAAAAATAAATAATGACTGAGTTTGATTATATTGATACTGGCAGGTGTAGTAAATTTTTTAATAAAGTAGAGAGAAAACTCATGAGAACTTGAAAAGAAGGCAAGCTCCCAACACTACCATGATCTGAATGACTGATAACTTACACAAACTTAGTGGAAAAGACACCATCAAGCCTTCCATCTCAACACTGGAGACCAGTCCCGTGAGAACCTTTTGGACATCACCAGATTTCAGGTATGGGCAGATGTTCTTCCACATTTTAAATGTATTTCACTTAAACACAACTCCTTTAACGAGCACAACCTAAAATTTCAATACTTTGACTTTAGTAAGTACTTGAACATAGACTTGTGTAATTTATCCAAACCAAAATAAATACTTTCCCCTCCCTCATTACCACATGAGCAAGGCCTCTTGAGCTCTACAAACAGATAAAAGTGTTGCTGTAATGAGCAGCTTTAGGTGTACCTGGGTGAATATCAATGTAGGCTCCCTCCAAAACTGTACTAAGATTGAGGAGAAAATCACACTGCTACTCAGACTCATTTGGTCATCACTTTCATTTTTTTTCCAATACTGTATTAGTCCTCCAAAAGTGGTTAAAGTGTACGTGTCTCTATAAAAACCTCTCAGAAGCATATACTGTTTCTCCTCTGTTATGTTCATGTTCTGATATTGTCTCTCTCGCTGCTTTAGATCCATCTTGTTGTGTTTGCAATACAGTACACGTGTTAGCTTTCCACTCTTGGTGAGTTAATCTGAAAACAAACTAGATAAACTCACACAACACACAACATCAAAGACAAATGACACTGGTGAAAGCTCATTTTTGAGGAGAGGTGACTTTAAAGTATCTGGACCCAGTGTATTTATTTTCCCTTCCACTACACAGCTGGGTCCAGTCAGGTGTAGTCTGTGGTGTTCCGGCTATGATGTAGTGTATGATATATATGTACACATATATAGAGAGAGTTTAAAGGTACCCTGTGGAGTTTCAGATCAATAGTCACGCTTTCAACATCTGTCTGTTTTCAATTTTTTAAATCATGCACATTCACCATACACACTGTTCCTGTTTTGTTTCTTCTCACAGACCTCTCATAAAAATTGATGTAGCTGCTGTGACATTACCCACTGGTGTTTAACCCTTTATCGAAAGCCTCAAGTGTAATATGTTGGTTATTGGCCACTTGTTTTTGTTTTTTGTAAGAACTACTAGAATTTTAAAAATTCGGAAAAATTCTTGTGTAGACTGTAAAAGTAACTGTGCACATGCAAACACTCTCAAAAGGCATCAACACTACAAAAATAGTGAAGAGTTCCAGTTGATGTGACTGATAGTAGCTGGCTTCTAGTCATGGTTAAAAAAAGATGGATTCGAAAGGTGAAGCCAAAGTAGAAGTGCCTGAAACCTGCATTGTTTCAGGCACTAGGAGGCGATAGCTGACAATGCAAAATAATGTCTATCATCCGGAGAACCAATGAAAAAGGCATCTTTCATTGTACCAGTTTTTGTGATTTCCTGCCTGTTTGGAGGCTACCCAAACACATGAGATATCATTGGAAAGGCCAGGATGTCCTCTACTGAGTACAATCGGACTTTTTAGGGTGGCTAAAGTAAATAAAAAGATACAGACCAAAAACAAATGTCCATTACAGAGGACATACATGAATAGGATAGGTCTCAGGAGGCTATGGAAAAGGCTGACTGCCAGGACCTCAGCAGGGATGAGAACTTGTGACTTACAAGTGAGTGATCCCTGAGCGTCTACTTTCACCGTTAGATCCATCCCTTGCAGTCACATCTGGTTCCAAAAGGATGACGAGGATGAAAATATTCATTTTACCAATCAGTGGGTGATGTTACTGTAGCTAAGTCAATCTTCTAGGCTGCCTATGCCACTAGCCCAGTTTCAACTGCTCATTATGGCTTTGTTTCACACGGAACCTTAAGACACACATAACTATGATATATACATTCAAATATTAAATATTAGTTTAAAAGAAAACTCTATAAAGCACCTTTAACTCGTGGTATTAGTTTGAAATGTTGTGTTAAAATTAGCTTACTTTAAAAATACATCAAATTTTGAAGGCAACAGTAAAGAGCTTCCTTTGGTTGAACCTGTTACAGTGCAAAAGTGTATTAGAGCAGAAAATAAATAAAAGGATAGGAAGAGAGAGAGAGAGAGAGGGAAAGAAGAACTGACTCACAACAAAAGTCCTGGCCCAACTTGAAATGAGGAGGTAGCAATTATGTGGTCGTCGCCTAGGTCGCTGTGATGTTTCCTCAGTATAAGCGGTCATAAAAATAAAAGGATTTTAGGTGAAGAACATCAGGAAGTTCTTTCTCAGTGATGCTGACAATCCTAAAATTTGTGAAATCCTTTGAAGTAAATCAGTAAAGTTGAAGAAAGAAAAAATAACAGAAAACAGTGAAACAATCAAAGTCATCACTGACATTACAAGGCGACGTACACCAAATCAGAACAGGACATGTTAGATGGGGCCAGGACACACCATGCTGGGTCATGCTGCTCTGGGAGATTTATTTAGTGATTTTTCCTTTTTTTTTTTTTGTTCTTTTTTTTTTGTTTATTATGTTGTTCACTTGCGCTGTCAGGAGTGTAGTAAATGGGACAGTCAAGCAGCACGAGTCACAGTTCATCATCATCATCATCATCATCATTATCATCATCATCACTATCACCACCATTATTATCATTCTCCTAATGGTATCATAATAATAATAATTTCATCATCATCATCATTATTGAACTTTTTCCTCAAGCTAGAAAATAATTTACATCACATTGTTTTTACTGACTTTTGAGACCACAAACATTCCAGCAACACACTCTAGGAATAAGGGTGGGTAACAATCAGAAAAGCATGACTTTTTGCATAGTATTAAATGAACAAAGACATTGAGTTCTTTATTTACAATTATTGTATAGATAAAAAAAATATCATAAAAACAAGATGAACACTTAAATCACTTACCCATAAATGGCTAAGTATGCCAAAAAAGTTATTTGTTGGCATTTCTCTTTTTCTTTGTTCCACAAACTGCATGCTGCTAAATACAGTACATCGAGGCAGGTGAGAGTATATTGCAAAAAGTATCATTGTTATCATCATCATCATCGTCATCATTATCAGTGTCATCGTCAAAGTTATTATTGGTTCCTACAGCACGTGTTATGATTGGGATGTAATCACGATGTTTTCTGACAGGAGCAGTGATTGATCACATACAGCCAAACGGCTGCATCGGCAGTATGACTCATTGTGGTGCATGATGGTAGATGTAGTCAGGAGGAGCTCCTGTGTCCACACCAGTGGAGTTCCTGTCCTCGATGGACTCATCGCTGTATTTACAAAGATTATTTTTTAAACTCAGTTTCTTTGCATCCCCTTAAAGCTGAATGTCCTCCCGGATGTAAAAGTGGTTTGAGAATATTGGCTCAAGTCTTTTTTTAAATATTATTATTATTATTATTATTATTGAAAATGCTATTGTTTTGTATTTGTTTTGTTTATTGTTTTACAGTTTATACAGAGAAACAAATAAATTGTCAAGTTAAAACAATGGAAAGAAAACAAAAGAAATCAACAGCTTTCAAGCAAAATATTAGAACCCAAACTGGGTTTTTTGCTTTCTCCAACTTAAATAAGACAGATTTTTTTTATTCAGATGGTCCATGTTACGTTTTCAACACGCCTGAGCTGACTGGTAAAGCTTGTGCACCCTCTCCAGATGGACAGATTGGCTGGGAAATGACAGAGGAGGAGGATATAAAAAAGAAGAGAGATAGAACTTGTTGGATAAATGATCATATATACTTTACTAGCTTATAGAATTTTTGTTTTTAGAAAAATCTGGAGGGTTTTTTTTCTTTTCAAGTTGCATAATGAGCCTATCACGTCATGCTTGTCAGTGATTTCGATTAGTAATAGAAATACAATAGTACAGGCTAGTTAAGTGGCCTTGTCCTTCGGAGTGCAATAAGACTGGGTAAATGTGCCTTCTGTATGTAACATCTCTCTGGTAATGTCTGATTGGTCAAAGCACAATAAATAGTTTACAACTAGTGAGTACAGTTGAGATGCTAGAGTACTGTATATTCTGTGACGGCAGGAAGACAAGCTTGGTTAAAACACACAAAAGCACATCTAGAATTACACCACAGAAGTTTTCATTCATAACCAGATAGTGCAGAAAATCTTTTTTTTCTCATATATATATATATATATAGAAAAAGAGTCAAAGCAACATTCCATTTTTGTTCTCATTTCTTCTTTTTTTTGTCAGTTTTTCTGTTTTCTTAGATGTTAAAAATGTCTGCAGCTTTGTGTGGCTGCATGTGTCTCTGCTAGAGGAAAAGAAACTCCTTTAAACAAAAATAAACCATTAGGTTAAATAAAAAATAGACACAACGGAAAAAATATTCAATGTTTTCAACCAAAACGTTTTGATTTCCGTGCGGTACAGAGAAGCCAAATATAACTGCAAATTTCTAATATGACTCAGCTGCAGCCTTTTGATGGTCATAGATTTGTTTTTGTTTTTTTAAAAACGTCAAGTCCTTCGAAGAAGCAGGTTTATCTAGAAGAGTTCGCTATAAAGGTCCTGATATCAGCCTTTGACTCGAGCCCTGACCCCAGGCCAGTGCTGAAGCACAGAGAAAAAAAGACATAATCTTAACAAAAGAGAAGAAGCAGTGGATAAAAAGAATAAAATATCCCCCTCTGTCACAAAAAGGAGGCCTCTGTTTAGAAAAAAAACAAAGGCAAGCCACTCCAACTTGATCCCAACAATCATATAGAGTAATACTAAGATTCCACAATTACTATGTATCCCATTATATTTTGGTTTCTTTTTGTTGTTAAACCTCTAAAAATATCTACATTATTTGACAAGACAGCAGGCAAATTCCAGCACAGGGTTTTTCAGTAATAACACACCGAAACAGCTCTGGTCCATCTGAGCTTCGACTTCGCCTTCCTCCTTCTAGAAACCAGGAAGTTTATCTCTACGAGGTTGTAAACAAATTACATTCTCTTTAAGACATAAATAAGTCAAAGGTATTGGAGCCATTGAAGCAGGAACAAGGCAACATGCCAACAAACAAAGATAAACTCTCTCTAAATATATTTATATGTATTTAAATTTATAGAATATATCCCATAAATGCTATCATCATTATTATTATTTTGCGTTCCTCTTTACGGACAGGTGCAAAACTGTTGTGCAAGTTGAGCCCCACCACCTCGATACACATTTCCGTTTATGGATGAAATAAATTTGTACAGTTGGGTACATGTTCATGCCACACAGAAGAGGGGACTTTGCAGGCCAGAAACTCAGAAATGCTGTCTTTAAAATCGCAGTCCACAGTGAGGCCTAGCCCATCAGAACCAAAGAACTCCAATAAAATTAAAAGCCTTTTAAATAAAACCTGGGTAATGTACATTCATGCAGGAGCAACAATAATAAGAACAATAATAATCAGAATCAGAATTAGAATAATAACAATATTTTTCAATTTAATTTAAACTATTATCAGTATTAACAATGTTTTTCGTTGAGGAGAGGAAGAGTGAGCAGAGTTTAAAGTCTGTCCTCTTGTGTGATTTTTACTCCTCAGCAGTCTCCCTCCTCATCGTCCTCCTCCCAGTGCCACTAAAGACACCATTCGTACATATGTGCAGTCAGACCCACGCTTATACAGTACATGCTAACCAGTACAAGTGTATTGTCGTACACGCCACCGTGACTGCCACTGTACTCATACAACCACAAAAGCAGGATGGCTGTGTAGGTTTTGTGGCTTTGTTGCGCTTTTTTGATTGTATGCTAGTTTGTTTTTTCTTTTCACCTTGACATATTACTTAGATTTTCTCTGCTTTGAAAGGAGCAGAGCGCTTCAAGGGCTCTAGGCTAAGGGAAAATGGTGGACATTTTCCCCCCAGGACTGCCGGTAGGTAGCGGTTTGGGGGAGCTCGAAGTTGAGAATTGGGTGAAAATTTGGGGGTGAAGACTTGTATGGTTACAGTTAAAGGTCTGGAGGAATTGGAGAAGGTGTCCTGACAATGTGAGGAAACAACATTAGAGGTTAGAGCTGAGTTTAGGATCAGGGTTAGAGGCTTGTCTCCAAGCTGTGCAGAGGACTGGCAGGGCTGGAGGACGCAGCTGATTTACTGGTATCAATAGTGAGATTAATGCCACTGTCAATAGCGTTGTTGTTCTTGTTAGGGGACGAGGGCTGGCTTGAGTACTTCATCCTTCTACGAGCAGAATCATCGTCCGTGTCATCAATAAGGGGGATGTTGGGTGTGGAGTCTTCTATCCTAAACTCAGGGTGTGTCATGAAGTTGTGGATGGATGTTCTGGAGTCTGGTTTTTCCAGGCCTTCATACAGGGAGCTACGGAATGCATTCACAACTCGGATCTGACATGGAAAGGGACAAAACAAAACAAAAAAACAAGAAGAAAAATGGTAAGAGGTGATGCCGGAGACAATATCAAAGGGTTGGAGGTACCCTCGAGATGAAAGAAAAGGCAGGGGGGGGTGGGAGGGTTTGAAGAGAAAAGGGGCATAGAAGGAGGGATCCTCTCATTTGAGGATAAAGAGTTAAAGAAGGAGCAGAAGGTGGAGGAACAGCAAGGGAGAAGGCGACTGCAGCCTGTGTTCTGCTTTCACAAGATGACTACAGTCACAAGTCATTCAATTTTGGCGTGCACTAAGGAAAACTGTGAGGAACACAATCATAAAAAAACACAACAAAATCATACATTTCAAGAAAAACAAATACCAAAGCAACACGAATGCTCGTTGTAAGTATACGCTTTAGTCCAATGTGCTGTATACCTAGAAACAAGCCACGTTAATAAATGGAATGCTTACAGAAAATTTAAAGGAGAATATCACATGCAAGTTTGTAGAAATCTGGTGGACGAGGTCAGTAAGAAGGAAGGAGGTTAGATCTGAGAGATCCAATCAAGTGGTTTAAAAACTTCTGAAGGTACCAGAACACTGTCTGGGACAATATCCACACAGACTCTGAGTGGGACACACAAACACACGAGTATAGCACACGGTGGGTATGGCATGGTCTCAAACAGGGCAATGGACAGTCAAGCCTGCATGAGGTTGGCTCAACACAAGCATCGCAGTGTAAAACCTCACAACAAAACAATAAAACCAAAAGCAAAACAGTGGCATTGAGACAACGAGCAAACACAGCAGGTTAAAATGTGACAAACACAGAAAATGAACAGGAGCTAAACACAAACTACATGCAACATGACAACAGGACAGTGTGGGAGTGGTGAACACCGGCACACAGAGTACAGACACTAAACACATGGAAGTGAATAATGAAAATAAGAGTTTTACTGTCAGACGTCTGACGGTCAAAGCATGTTCCTGAGTCCATGCACGTCGAAGTAAACACTCAAGTATAAGGTCCAAACAACTATGTGACAATTTATTGAGACTAAAAAGTAGCACAGTAGTCACAGACTATGGCAAATTGCTGTTTTCATAAACCCTGTGTGCATCTTCAATTTATTTTGTAAAAACATCCTACTAACGTTTTACAAGAAACTAAATCATGACAAAAATGTGAGGTATTTGGAAAAAACTGCATCAGTATTGTTGCTGGGTTTTAATTGATAATTGGCTTTACATTTACATTATTAACTCAATTCTTGTTTAAAGTAGCTGAAACTAAAGAAATGAAAAAAAATTGCTGTTGAATGTAGCAACAACATATCAATGCTTTTATGTATTTTGTGTTTCCAGTTAATAAAACGTTTAATTAAAGATAAGAAACCTGTTTTGTCATTCTTCACAGGAGCAGTGAATACACTAAATGGACAAAAATACTGGGACAGGAAACCCATGCCTGTGAAGCTCCCGCTGCACAGTTTTTATGCTGATGTTAATGCGAGAGGAGTTTTGGAGCCCTGCAGTTACTGACTCAGCAGAGACTTCATAACCTTTACACATTATGCGCCTTCACTTGCCACCAGGCATGGCAAGCTGCTGCCTGGAGTCCCAGGCCAGCAGGGGACCCCAAGGTCTGATCAACCTCAAACTACAGCAATGGTAATATGCAAGGTTTGTAATGCCAGTAGTTGAGACCTGACTTCCCTAAGGGTCCCTGCCCACCTTTACTCACTCCCACCGCAAGTGGCACACATGAGTCTGTTTAAACAAGCCAAATGTTAGGAAACCTTTTAGGAGTGAAAATAGACAGAAGAAGAAGAGGAAAAAAAGCAGGACAGTGGGGAATGAAGCAAACAATAATGGCTAATAAATATATTGCTCACTAGCTACAGTAAATGCTACTAGTCTAGCCTTAAATGTAGGGGAGAGACAGTCAAAATCATGAAGCTTCCACTAACATGAAGTTATTTCTTCTCTTTACTTAGATGTTTAACATTAGCTAACTTAGCTAGCAGAGCAGCATAGTTAGGACACTGGCAATGGGCCTGTTTGCACAGCTAGCATGTTAAAGCAACACAGAAGCTAGCTACAGTATTAACAGTTTTTAACTTAGTCTTGGGCATTGTTGCCAAAATAAACATGGTCTCTGCCATAAGTAATGTTTTACTGTCATTTTATCGGACTACTGTTTGTGGCGGTGGTGTCAAATTATTTAAAACAAAGTGGCAGCAAATGCTGTTGGCGGGTCCTTCTGTGAATTTTTGTCTGGGGCCCCAAAAGATGCTAGAACAACCTTGTTCTGTAAAATGGTGAAAACAATCGAATTCAGTAATTACGAAATGTGGCTCAATACTTTTGTATGTAGTGCATTTGAAATTTAAACTCTGCCACAAACCTTAAGACTACAATATTCCTTCTAATTTTAAGATATTCGATTTATAAAGCTTTGAGAATAGTGCATATTATATGGCAAACATTCTTGTAGTGCTGCAGTAACTGTGGTAGAGTAGGTGTAAGGAGAGAAATGAAAATTAATAATAAACAGAAGCCTGTCTGGATGATTGCATGTGACAGGATGTCTGACAAGTAACACTGATGGGGTGTCAAAAAAGGGTGGGGGCTGATTTTACTTTGCTGCAGAGGATCTATGTCTGTAACTATGGTAACATGACAGTCAACTACACCAACAGTATGAAGCAACAAGACGGGATGAATTATTGGTACACTACTGCCTTATAGTGAGTACCCTGGCCCCGATTCCAGTTCGCACAACCTTCACATGGGATTTAATTTGATTTTCATAAAGCAGGTTGTGTCAGTGAGGATGTGTGTGTCCATGTGTGCAAAATAGAGTGAGAGAGACAGAAAGATGAAGGTGGGCAAATCATTAAATAACACAGACGCTTTTGAATAAAATACACACTCGCCTCAAAGTTTGCAATGTGGCAGTCAAATGTGAAAATATTTTAAGCCAAATATACCGCTGCTACCTTAATATTTTCTTGTCACTGCTGGTGATTCAGCTCAAAGGACATGTAGGAGGTAAAATTTGTTTTATGCCAATCCAATGTGATTTGCCACAACAGCGTCACACTCCCAGGTAAAAAAACAAACAAAAACAAAGTTAACACTGCAACTTATACTTGAATGTTCACCCAGTGACTTGGTGATTTGATTGGAATTAGTTCACATTAATGTCTATAAAGACATAAAAATGTGAGGTTTGGATGAGGGGATGATGGATGGAAGATGAGCAGAGGGAGACAAACTCACAACCTGAAATGTCACGCCGTGGGTATCACCCTTAGTCCTGCGCTCCTAGCACTCTGAGGAAACAAACACACATTCACCAATGAGAAGACAGTACACCCAACCATGGGACGAGATATCAAGATGAATTTGAAATCCAGCGTGAACAAGAAAAAGACAGAAGAAATAGAGAAAATGAAAATGCAAATAGTAAGAACGAAAGACAAAAAAAAAAAATCTTCAGAAATGCCAACCTCAAGATGGAGACTGTTGTTGTAAATTAAAAACAAATAAATCAATAAACTACAAAAAATAACTTTCTGCTCATGACAGGATGGCACCCCTGAAGCAAAGAGAGTGGAGAAGCAGACTGACAGAGTTCTGACTCACGGCCAGTAGTGGGAGGAGCAGTAGCAGCAGTAGTGCTTGTAGGAGAGGAAAGGGCATTGGACAAGGACACGTGACTAGGACTAGAAACATTGGTTACATCCTGGTTCTGGCTGGTGGTGGATGATTGGCGTCTCAGAGCCCCTGCCCCCTGAAAGGAGGTGCCACTCTTGAAGGTGTTGACTACTTCAATCTGTAGGAGAGCGGGACAGGAGAGGACAAATGGCTGCTCAGAGTGACACAGACCAAATGGTAACACAGGTTGATTGGTAGGGTGACTGGTGGTAGAGGGAGTATCTCAGTCATGACATGATGGAGGGCAGCTAAAGGTCAGGGTGTGGTGTCCCCACAGCAAAAATACTGAATCTGATCTAAAGAGCTGGTTCACCCAAATTACATGTGAGCTATAATGGTGGCCATGCAAATACTTTGGGTTCCCTTCAGATTTGTTGTGTGATGCTGATACAGAGCAACATTAAAAAGATTTAAAATTCAGTAGCTAATATTTATCTCTGGAAAAAAAACACAAATCATTTTCGTGTAAAATTTAAGAGAAGTAAGCGTGAGCAGTCTACAGTAGAACTTTCTACAAAGCAAACATTTCATGTTCGTTCTGATAGTGTTTCTTTTTTAACCCAGAGTAACACTGATGTTGTTTGCATTATTGTTCTACGTTATTAGCACCACAGAACAAACTTGTATTCAGTACCTAAAAATATGATATTACAAAACCTTGGCAAACCAGAACTTTCTGCATGGCCAGATAACATAAGAGGAAGATTGCCAAAAGCTTTGTTTTCCTTTAATTTGGGTGATCCCACCCTTTGACTTACTATCTGATGTAAACAAATTAAAGTCACAGATGCAGCCATTCACATCATCCAGTGCATGTTGTTTTGTGACATCTTCACTGAAGAAGAAAGTTAAGATTTAGTTCAAATTGGGTTTTGTTTTTCTTTCTTTTGTTTAAATTCCTGACCAATGCATATACAGTTGTGATTAGAAGTTTATATGTACTCATCATGGGTGTCAATGTCATGGTAAATTGGGGCTTTAAATGATTTATTTGACCTGTTCTTTTTGCAGGGTAGAATGATTATGCAGAATTTACCACTTCAACCAACCTCATCTGATGATGAACGTTTGGCTCTTATTCCAGACCTTGGCAAATTGTACATACGTGCAATTAACTTGTACTGACGTAGAATTGCTTGAATTCATGATTCCGGAAAGAAACCGTCCCATCTTGTGTAAATCTACAGTTCTCCTTCTTGGATCCTCAGTGAGTTCCTTGGTCTTTCATATTGTTCTAAATGTGACTGTGACTGATCAGTCATGATCACTAATGAGAAGTTATTAAGCCTTAAAGTCAATTTAAAAGGCATTGTAGAACCTTAAGCAGACTTTATTAAAGTGTACATATATATTTGAGCTTAGATATGGATCAGAGAAAATACAAAATAAATTCAAACTTTTGCACCCAGTTATTGTTTCTTAAAGTCATTAAAGACATTCGCTGTACAATCATTCAACCCTGGAAAAAGAACAGTTCAAAAAAAATCATTAAAAGCTCCAAAGTACCATGACATTCATGCCCATGATGACTGAATGTAAACTTCTGACCACAGCTCTATGTAGAATGACTCATTTTAATTTGATCATAACCAGCTTATTAATAAGGACTTAACACTAAACACTAAACACTGTCATTTGCGTACAGCACAGATACTGTTCTGGCTGTAGTTTTTTAACTTGCTCTTGCGGATGTTAGGCAGCATCTGTCCACAGTACTACACCCAGGCCCATCAATAACACATCAGTGAGACGAAACCAGATCCAGCACACAAGCCGGACTGTCTGCAATATCACAGTGATACCGGTCTGCAGAGCTCACAAATGTGAAAACAGTTCAGTGGCTATATACTTGTATTTAACTCTTGGAGCTTCCACAGGTCCACGGCGGTGATCTAGGCAGTCCAGCGAGGGAAAGTGGCATCTTTATGCTCCTGAGTAATTCATCTTGAGATAAAAGGAAACTGTGACTGACTAACATGACCAACATATAAAATACAGTCTATCACTTCCTCATGGGCAATGCCTGAGGTGGAGAGACCTACACAAAACAGATCTTGTGAGAAACACAGACAAACAGTAAAAGAGAGGCTTTTTAGTAAATATTAGGGGTGACATATTTACCTTTTAGTGTTTTTATTATATAACTGGACAAAATTATTATATTATTATTATGGACCTCAGCATATTATTGTGTAAAATTAAAGGGAATCTTAAACAGATTTTTAAACAAGTAACCATAAAGTTCACATGCTGTATCCATATATTAACTGGGTTTGAACTTGCCCTCACCTGAGTCTGAATGCGGTTGAGTCCTCTGAACCAGAGGATCTGTCCTCTCCTCAGCTCCCTCTCTGCGTGGTCGATCTCCTCATTTTCTTCATTAACATCCTCCTCTGGCAGCTCATCTTTCTGAGTTAACTGCCCTGCCCGCCGCAGGAAGCGCAGTCTGCTATTGGGTATGGTGGCTATCACCTAACCCGCAGAGAAGTAAAAGCACTAAGTGATGTACTTACTGTAGAGATGCACAGACAGGAAAATTGACCAAAAGACTTAGAAAGGGAAAACTTTGCCTATTACCTGTCCCCACACAAGCTCCCCCAGCCCGAGGAAAACACACCACATCCACTTTTCCAAGTCTAGAGGTTGACAGCTGAATGGCTTCCCTCCAAACTGCACAATCACGATCTATGCAAATTATAAAGTACACAGAAAACTGAAAATTACCATTACTTATCTGAAAAAATATATAATAATTAATAATTAAAATTAAAAATAACTGAGAAAAACAAGTAATTTCAGGAATTAATGCATCCACTTACCTGCACAGCAAACGTGCCAAAAACAATCGAGCAGAAGATGGGGTTCCTGAAGATACCGTCAAAAACATTCCTCTCTCCGTGGATTTTGCGGGCATTTATCTCATTAAACAGCTGCATCATGACAAAGGTGTTAAAGATGATGGTGTAGTGCTCAGAGGGTGGAGAGTGGAGAGGAGCATTGCGGCCACTGTCGATGTCAAAGATCTGCTCACCTGGAAGGAAAAGAAAGAGAATCAGGGAGTCAGATTGATGCCATAGTCTTTAAATCTGTAATATCCTACATCGGTATAACAGAGCAAAATAACCGTGCGTACCAACAAAGAGCAGTGTGAAGATGATAATGAGCTGATAGACTCCGTGTCCTAAGATGTTCTTTGTCATGGTGCTGGAGATGAGAGGCTTATTGCGACCGTATGGCTTCCTCTTAAGCAGAGACTCCGTGGGAGGCTCTGTCGCCAGAGCCAGGGATGCAAAAGTATCCATGATAAGGTTCACCCACAACATCTGCACTGCTTTCAAAGGAGAGTCCTAAAGAAAGGTGACAGTAACATGTATCAATAACAGAATAGAATAATAGAACTACAATATAACCAGGCATGAAACATACGTGTATTTCTTGAAGTTGTAAGCACTTATGATCTTTCGAATTACTGATTAGGCAACAGTAAACCAACTTGGATGAAATTCCATTTCATTATCATCAACTGTGTTAAAAATGACCATGATAGCGGGCTGGTATTACTTTGCAATCTTTTTCATCCTTCTGACCTGTGTGATGCAGGCACCAGTGAAAGCCACAATGACAGCTACAACATTGACAGTAAGCTGGAACTGAAGAAACTTGGAGATGCTGTCGTAGACATTTCGGCCCCACATAACTGCTTTCACGATGCTGCTGAAGTTGTCGTCGGTGAGAATGATATCTGATGCTTCCTTGGCCACATCTGTACCAGCAATACCCTGGAAGAATGATGACAAGCTGCAGTGAGAAAGAAACTGGAGTTTTCTATTTCACAGCTGCTGTCCTTCTAACTTCATCACACTGCAGTATTCCTCAGCCTACCACGTTAAAAATAACGTTGAACCATATAATCAACTCTGCAGTCAGCTGGACAAAGCTGGACCCTGTAGATGAGTCACTATTGTGTTTAATAATAATACCAGCTACCTAAGGAGCCAGTGTGCATGTAATCAGGTAAAGCGCAGACTGTAGGAAGGACTCTCTTTCTGTATTATGTTATATTTTGAAGGAGAAGCATGGGCAGCACCTTCTAGGCAGTGGCTGGATTTGGACAAGGATGCCCTTATAAGTGAAAGTGTGGAGTGAATACTTATGCGGACATCTTTTAAAACATGTCTCATTAAATGAATTAATGTGCGTGATTAGGTTGAAATCTGAGCCCAAACAAATCTCCTTCAATCAGATTTCCTGCTTAAGCACAGAAGCTGAAATCATTTTTTACAGTATCTTACAGGACCACAGTGTAGAAGGAGAGCTGCAACTCATGTTACATAAGACCTATTAAAATATGTATATATGGTTTTTGCTATAACGTTTTTAACAAGCTGAGCAATCTTCTGCAGAATAACTGCGTGAATAAAGAAATCCACTAGGGGGAGCTCCTTATCCACACAGCCAGAGTGAGAGCGCCTGAGAAGAATTCTTAAACACTGCAGAGGTGAAAAAGACATCTGCAGATGTTGACTGAGATCAGTCTCACAAGAATGCAAGATAAGGCACGAACAAACAGCCAAACAAAACAGGAAAGAAGGGCTGCTTACCATGGCAAATCCAACGTCAGCTTTCTTTAGAGCAGGCCCATCATTGGTCCCATCTCCTGTCACAGCCACCACCTGCCTCTGGTCTGCCATAGTGCTGTCAATAATGCCTGCAATAAAGAGATAAACAAAGCAGCATAGGAGGAAGCGCATATACACATGGAGGACAAAGACTCAACAAACAAGGAAAGGCAACAGTAATGATCTCTGTCTAAGTCAGAGCAAAAAGTGTGCAACCAATTCACCTTTGACGAGTGTGTGTTTGTCGGTTGGGGATGATCTAGCCAGTACTCGGAGTTTAGGCCAAACCTTATCGATACGCTCTTGTTCCACCTGCACACACACACATAGACACACACAAACACAAATTGAAAGAGAGGAACAAGTGCAACACTTATGCTTATTTTTCCTTAACCTCTGCAACTCTCTTCCATGAGTGGCTCACTTTTTACCTCCTCTCACACTGACAGTATTTGCTGTACCTCTCCTTTCTCATTGCGGATCCTCCTGTTGAACTCTTTGCCATCGATGCACAGGAAGTCCTCTCCTGGGTGGATGATACCACACTTGATGGCTATGGCTCGGGCTGTGTTTATATTGTCTCCTGTCACCATACGCACTGTGATGCCTGCACGCTGGCACTTCAGAATGGCATCAGGGACCTAAAATAGGGAGACACATGCATAATCATTCAGTACAACAGAAATATGTAAAAAGGAAAGCATATTTCACCTATTATTTAAAGCTGCACTAACCAAATTTAACCAATTAATACAAAGACTGAGCATAATGCAGCCAGCTTTTACTGGTCTGGCAAACCTTTTAGTTCAAGGAAGCCTTCTGATATACCCAGTAGTAGAAGGAGCTGCATTTCTGACCACTGGACGAATTAAATTAAGATTTTCACTTTTTCTCTGGTTTTGTTCTCCACCAACTCTTGAGGGAATTTTGAATTCCATTTGCTATCTGGTGGCAAATGCACAGTTTTCAGAGCTTCAGTATTTGAGTAGTGTTTATAAAAGAAAAAACAATCTTGCAGTTATTCACAAAACACAAACACATGCAAGCAAGTAAATCAAAGCCCCATTATTATTAAGTTCTCCAGATAATATTGCAATAAATTAATAATGACTACTCATGTATGGATATGGATCTGTAGTTGAAGCATCTTGCAAAAGAGTACTAATTCAGAAACACATATTTCTCCTTGCAAAGGTCAGTGTGGGCGAGCTCTGCTCTCCAAACCCACACATAAACAATTGTGCTCACGTACCGTAATAACAACTTGCATCAGTTTACACATACATGCAGGCAAGTAATTCTTTCTGCCTTCACACATAAAAAACATAAAACATGGATCCATCACTGAAATGTGCGCTTGCATCATGCATTAAACTGCCGAATCGAACTGCTTATGGATGCAAGCATAGAGAAGTTTGTTTTTACAAAGTATGGCTATACAGAGTGCTGGTCTTTAATAAGCTGGAGGTTAAAATAAAAACAGATATGATTTTTTTCGCCTACTTAGAACTACATAACTTTTGCTCAGCAGCTGCTACATGCAAAAATGATTGTCCTCAATATGAAAACCTACAACAGTCAAACAAGTGAATTTATTTCATTTAATTCAATATTTGAAGAAGAACAACATTTGCTTCAGTCACAACAAAACCATCTTTAACCTATATCAGCCTGTCATTTCATTACACAAAATAAAATAGCCAACTAATACGTATACCAGTTAATACTCTGAAGAGGGCAACGAAGTTAAATATTCTTCAAATGTAAACAGAAAAAAAAAAAGAAAAATGTAATATGTAGTATGATTTTTATAAGTTAAACAAGCTCATGCTCTATATTATCCAGATATTAACTCATTGTTATCAAGATATCAGGTTCCTGTTTGGCTCGTCTGTCATCCCTGGTATTTATTTAAACCTTTCATTCCTCTTGGACACGTACTGCTCAAGATGACTGGTCACTTGAAACTAGGAGGTGAAGAAAAGACTGGAGGTTTATTAAAAATACAATCTGGTCCAAGGTTATTATCGTTAAAGAAAACTAACGAAATAACGAAAACTAGAAGTGAAAAAACATTTTTGTTAACGGAAATAAAAATAAAAACAAAAAAAGGAAAACTAACTAAAACTGGAATGAGTGTTCACAAAACTAACTAAAATTAACTGAATTTATAGCAAAAATGTGTTTAGTTTTCGTTGATGTGTGCGTGTCATAGAGATGTGCCCCGTCTCATTGGGGCCAAGATATACGTTTTATAGTTGCCTGGTATCAATGGTTGTTCATCTGCCTTTATTTATTTATTTAAAGAACCCATAGGTGGGAATGTGAGTTGTCTGTCTCTGCACGTTAGCCCTGCGACAGACAGGCGACCTGTCCAGGGTGCAGGGTATGGTAGCTGGAAGAGCAACATACCCAAGGATAAGCAGAAGAGAATGACTGATATGATGAAACTGTTAAAACTTGTTACACTTAATTATTGCAAACACAACTAAAACTATAACTGAAACTAATCAAAACTAAACTGAAACTAAGGATTTTCAAAAAAATAAAAACTAAACTAAACTAGCAAACAATTGGTAAAAACTAATTAAAACTGATATAAAATTAAAAATCTGAAGTCAAAACTAAATAAAAATAAAAACTAATGAAAATCGCAAAACTATTAAAACCCTGGTGGCCACACTACATATTCATTTTACTGTACAGTATCTTCAGCATTAAATATTAGATTTTTTTTTTGTATTTATTCATCTTAACACTATAATTTTCCCCAAATTGCAAAAAACCTTCCATAATATTGCAATACAAGAGGGGATTCTCAGTTAATATATCTCAGCTTTGGAGAGAAAGATAGAGACATCACAATGACAGAAAGAGAGTTGCAGAAAATGTGAAAGGAAAAGGAGTCATCAAAAAGAGGAACATCACCACAGACAGAGGTGGAGAGGAGAAAACATGTTGGGTTGGGGCTGAATGAGCAATGCTGTTGTAGAAAGAGCAGGGGGATGGAAACAAGATGAAAGGAAGCAGTTGAATAATCCAGTAGTCAGTTAATTTTCCTGCTTCCTTCTCCCTGCACTGGAGCTGTCAAGCGAGGTCAGCGTTCCTACTGTACACAGATACCTCTTTCTTCCAATTATAATACACTCTATTCCTTCATGTGAAATTTATCATTAAAAAACTGTACCCCTGAAGAAATTGCTTTATGATGAATCACTTATTGCATTGAACATTTCTTTTTGTTTCAACGGATGATTTTATAGAAGTGATCAGTAGAAATAAGCTGATCTCATATAAGAATTGATTTGGTGTTTAAAATTCAAATTAATACTTTGATCCTCATCTATACAATAAACCTTTATGTAAAGAGACACTGCTTCAAACTAACAGCGAGGACACACCACTGGTTATGACACAGCTGCTGAAAGCTGGTATTATAAACCATTTGTTCGACATCCCCCTCCTCTCAGTCCATTACTAAAATATCTCTCCTACCTCTGGCCTGACGGGATCCTCTATTCCGACAACACAGATGGCTGTGAGGTCATTCAGGATGTTGTTCTCATCATCCCAGTTGGGCTCAGGATTGCTGGAAAAGTCACGATACGCCACACAGATGGTCCTCAAGCCATCACACGCCATGGGCTCAATCACTTTCTTCACCATCTCATCCTTGTCTCGTGGACGGAAAACCCTTGGCTCACCCACCTCGTTTTGGATATGGCTGCATCTGCAAAGAAGGGTGTGGCGTAGGTCGTGAGGGTCATTTTAAGTTATATACTGTAACATTGGCATTGTCTGTGTTTTTAGTGCTTGGAAATGAGCCAGCATTTAAAAAAGAACAAAAGGTTTGTAGCAACCGAAAATAAAATAAATTCATAATTATAATAAAGGTCAATCAAATG